GTCAGGTCGCAGCCCTCCTGCACGTGACTTTACCCCTTGGCAGGTGCTTCCCTGCTAGGCAGAAATAGTGACCGCCTTTGCAGGACTGCCGAGGGGCTGGATTCGGACATCTGATGTGAGAACACCTCATACAGAGAGGGGACTCAGCCCAGACATCGGGCTTGAATTGAGCTGTTTCCAGGGGAAGAAGGGAGAGGGGTCTGAGTTTGTCTGGCCTCTGCCTAGGTTTCTGAAAAGGAAACGGAACCATGGCCTGGGTGGTGATGATGGCTGGAGCCATGGGGAGGCCACCGAGGAGGAAGGTGGCCACCGCAGGGTCAGCCACACTCTGCACGGGATTCCCATGAAGAGGGAACCCTGCAGCCAGCGCTACCGTCTCACTGAGGAGGCCGTGCTTTGCTGCGGGCCACATCTAAGGGCCTCTGGGTCCCTGTGCCTCTCATGCCTTGGAATCTGACTGCACTCTGGCCCGGTGTGCTGGGTGTGTCTCTGTTCCAGAAGCCGTGCCCCACCCTCAGCCTCCAGAAGCCTCTATTCAGCAGGGAAGGGCAGGATGAAGTCTGTCAAAGTTCAATACCAGACAGACGAGTTTCCCAGTCGGCTGGGGAATGCCGCTGCCTTAAAGACAAGCCTTGGAATGCGACATCTGCTGTTGCTGAGAGCACCAGCACACAGCTGGAGCCCGAATGGAAAAGGAGCAGGGGTCACAGGGCAGGCTGTCGCCACATCTTTCCATCCTGTCTATGTCTCCAAAATCATAGTCATCCTCAGGCCCTGCCCCACCGCCTTCACCCACGCTCACGCCTCGCTGGATCTGAGCAGGCACATGATGTCCACAGCGCTTTCCTGCACCGTTGTCCTGGTCCTCTCCATGGCCCTGGGCAGGGAGGGGCATGACCATCACTTTGCAGCTGACAGGACCTGCGAAGCTAGGACTCCTGGAGGTGGAACTACAGGGGAAACCGTGCAGGCTCACCCACAGCCCTCTCCACCCAGCCAGGGCCTCAGCTTCCGCCGACTTCACTCATTCTCAACTCCTTTCCTAGCTGTAGTGAAATACTCGTAGCATACAATTTGCCCACCTACCCACATTTAAGTGGAAGTCAAGTGACAATGTTGGGCTCCCATCACCATTCTCTATCTCCTGAATGTTTTCATCTTTGCAAACTGAAACACCAAACCTAATATTGCTATGTCCCTTGATTGTATAAGCCCCGAGCAGAAAGGACTCCCCACTGTGGCCACCGTCACGTCTATGGATCCCCTAACCCCTGCCCACACACCTTTGCAAACAAGTTCTTTATCAAACTAACCTCAAACAACCCAACTAAAGGGTGGCGTCTATGGAGCAGTTGGCTAAAGTTCTTATCGCCTCTCTCCATTGTACAGGAGAGGGACTGAAGCAAGGGCGGGTGAAATAACTTGCCCAAAGTCACCCAGTTAGCAAGAGGTAGAACAGGGATTTAGACCCCTGCGTTCTGGTTCTAAGACTTTTGAAAAGAAGAAAAGACTCCAGAACTTGACCAGGAACAAACAAGGGGATCCAGGCAGGTAGACAGAGTAGGTTGACCAGAGGTCGGAGCAGGTGGTGACTGGGAGGCTGGAGAGACCCCAGGAGAGACCCCTAGAGAGGCCCCAGGAAGCTGCAGAGATCCCAGAACAGGCACAAGAGCCCAGCTTTCGTGACACAGAGCTAGAACAGCACATCCCCTGGGGGACACTGCACTGCCTGTGGCTGCCCCGTCCCTCCCTGAGCTGACCCAGGCAGAGGCTGAGGAGCCTCCCCAGGGCTGAGCTCCATGGGCCAGAGGTGAGCTGAGGCTGAGGCTGATGTAGGAGTGACAGCACCCAACCTGTCTCGGACTGGAGCCCCGCGGCCCTGCCAAGCAGCGTGGCCCGGGCGTGACTGGCGTGACCAAACGATTTTACTCTACTGGAAAAAGATGGGTGGTGTTGTCTCCCTCATCTGGCATAAAAGCGAGGGCAGGCAGGGCAGGGGGGCAGGTGGCCAGAGTGCGCTGGGAAGCAGCGGGGAGCAGAGGAGACGCAGGAGCAAGGCGATGTTCTCCCTGCTCAGCGGGCTGGCTTTCCTGGCCATCTCCTTCCTGCTCCTGAAACTTGGCACCTTCTGCTGGGAATGCAGCCGCCTTCCTCCCGGCCCCCTCCCTTTCCCCGTCCTTGGAAACCTGTGGCAACTAGGCTTTCAGCTGCACCCCGAGATGCTGCTCCAGGTAGGGATCTGTCCTAAGCGGGGGTGGGGGGGCAGAGGAGCCCTGCCCGGAGATAGAAGGAAGGAGCTGAGGTCAGACGCACGGGAAGGTGAATCCTGGCCCGCTGCTCGCCTGCGCTGGGGTCCTGAGAATCGGTTTCCTCAGCTGTCAAATGCAAGGTTGTAGGGGGACTGCACTCGTAGCATGTGAAGACGGCCTGCTGAGTCTGCCGCAGAGGATTCTGGAACGCAGTCGGGAAGTCGTGTTGAGCAGAGCTCTCCTTCAAGGGAGCAGTTTGTGGCTGGGAGGAACTGGGGAGAAGGGGAGCCCCAAGGGCACGCAAATGGCCATACAAAACTGCTTCAGGGGAGGAAGGAGTCATCAGTGGGGGGCTTCTGTTGCACTGAGTAGATGTGAAGTCCAGGCCTGAGCCGGCTGCTGGGCAGGAGATACTGCCTTTCCCCAGAGCCACACTCAGCTCTCAGCAGTGCTCAGTCGTTTCCCCTAGATACCTGGATTTGAACTCCTGCCCCAAATCCTCACGTGGGGGAAGAAGCACCGTGCAGGAAGCTCAGAGACCTGGGTTCCAGGTCTTTTGCTCTCTTGATTGGCTTCTGTTTTCTAATACATAAAATGGAGACAGAGATGTCTACCTTGCACACTTATACTGAGTGGCTCCAGGGACATATGTGCTCTGAGCAGGTGCACTGCTCAGAGCTGTAGGAAGGTGGGGGGACTCGTGACAAGAGCGAGGTCCCAGGGAGTGGGGCCAGCCGGGCTTGGTGGGCAGCCCTGGGGACCCCTGTCTCTCCGCAGCTGGCCCAAACTCACGGCAGTGTGTTCACTGTGTGGGTGGGCCCCACGCCCGTCGTGGTGCTGAGCGGCTTCCAGGCTGTGAAGGAGGCGCTGGTCTCCAACTCGGAGCAGTTCTCAGGCCGGCCCCTGACCCCACTCTTTCGGGACCTGTTTGGAGAACAAGGCAAGGCTGGCCTCCTGTTGGAGAGGGGAGGTGGCTGGACAGTCCCGGCATGCAGTGGGGCGGGACTGACAACAGGAAGGAGCCAGGAGGGCTTGGGCTTTGGGTCTCTGCAGAGATCTGTGGGAGAGGAGGAAAGGAACCAGCCGTAGGGTGTTGGGGTTGGGGGAGAACCACACTCAAAGGTCAGCCCAGCTGCTTGCCAGCTCTGTTACCTTCTGCAGCCAGCCTCCCCATCCCCTCTCAGTGTGCTCATCTGTAAGATGGGCCCAACCAAGAATTTACTTGCAGGGAACAGCAAGTGCTCTCACCCCTCTTTTCTTCCTGCCAGGCCTCCTCCCTGCCATCCCATCTTTATCCACGCCTCCATGTCCTGTAGGGACTCTTACAGGCACAACTGAGCTGGCAGACTTGGGAGGACAAAGCTGAGTCCGCCCTGCTGGTCACAGCACCAGCCCAAGAGCTGTTTGGGAAGGTTGTTTGGGTTCTGCTCTCCAGGTGACAGCCAGGCGTCGAGGCCTGGACGGTTGGGAGGTGGGAGGGCCTACTGACCAACCAACTCCCTGTCCTGGGCCCAGGAGTCATCTGCAGTAATGGGCACACATGGCGGCAACAGAGGCGCTTCTGCCTGGCCACGCTTCGCGGGCTGGGCCTGGGCAAGCTGGCGCTGGAGGTCCAGCTCCAGGCAGAGGCGGCAGAGCTGGCTGAAGCCTTCCACCGGGAGCAGGGTAAGGAGCTGGTTGGGAGTCCACAGCCCTGCAGAGCAGGCTGAGCCTCGCTGCACATGTGAGTGCCCGTGTGTGTGTGTCCACAAAGCCTCAGGAGTCCCTCGTAGAAATAGCCTGGAAGCTTCTCCAGGGCAGGTGAACACAGGTCCGGGAGTGCCCAGATGATGGGAAGCCGGAACGCTCCTGCTCTGCTCCACATCAGCAGAGCCTCCAGCCATTTGCATTTCCCACTGGGGTGCCCTAGCCTCCACCCCAGCTTCCCTCTGCGTGAGGTCCCCCAGACCTGGCTGAGGCCTCCCTGAATCAGAGGCCCAGCCCAGCACCGCACTGACTCCATCCTGCATTCTATTGTCATTTACATGGCTGGCTGCCTCCCACACCCCCCTCTGCAAACCCTGACGCTGAGCCTGGCTCGCAGAAGATGCTCCATGAGCACTTGCTGAGTGCGTGAACGAGGAATGGGAATGAGTGATGAGGGGAACAAGTGAGTGCACACACGATGGGGTGCGTGGCCACCCTCCTCACCCTGACCCCGTCCCTCTGCTCTCAGGTAGACCCTTCGACCCGCAGGTACCCATTGTCAGGTGCACAGCCAGAGTCATCGGGGCCCTCGTGTTTGGTCCCCGTCTCCTCTCAGAAGAGCCCATCTTCCAGGAACTGATCCAGGCCATCGACTTCGGCCTGGCCTTTGTCAGCACCGTGTGGCGCCGGGTAATGCGTGTTGGGGAGGCAGGTGTGCAGGCCGTGGGCTGCCTGGGACCCAAGGCAGGCAGGCTGACAGGTGGGGCCTGGTTGTGGCTTCCTGAGGTGGCTTGGGCATGACCTTGTGCCAGGTTCGCAGCATCCAGCCTCCTCTGCTGTGGGGCAGCCTGCAGGTGTGCACAGGGACCGAGAGGCAGGCGAGAGCCTCAGAAACACAGCTTGTGGGGCCTGCACCATCACTGCTACCACCGCTTCCAGATGAGAGGCAGCCCTGGGTTGCGTGGGTCAGAGCCCCCAACCCTCAGCTCTCAGTGGCCGTGATGCAGGGGTTGGCACCCACCTGAGTGGGCTCCTGGCGGGTCTCTCTCCCCACAGCTGTATGACATGTTTCCCTGGACCCTGCGCCACCTACCGGGACCCCACCAGGAGATATTTAGGCACTACAAGGCAGTGCGGGGCTTCATCCATCAGGAAATCATCAGGCACAAGCTCATGGGGCCTGAGGCCCCCAAGGACTTCATCAGCTGCTACCTGGCCCGGATCACCGAGGTAGGCTGGGAGCAGCAGCCTGCGGGAGGAGCTGTCTCCCCGGCTGCCCCTCCTTTCGAAGGTCTTGGGGGTTCACGTCTGATTCAACCCATGAGCTTCCAGAACACCCTGAAGCGGCTGTCACTGGGGTTTTCCCACAATCTTGTCCGCAGCGCCGGCAGCTTCTGCAAACATGGGAAGGGTGGGAAGCAGAGCGCTTGGCTGATATCAGGGCCAGACCCTCTCGTCAAAAGTCAGTGCCGTCCTGGGACTGGGACCTCCCTGCTGGTCTGACCCCCCAGGGCAGCTCCGGGCCACGTTGGGCCTCAAGGAGGCAATAGGGCTCCGTTAGGGAAGAACATGAGACTTGGAGCCGCTCCCCAGCCGCCCATCATCACCCACTGCCAGGCTGAGGACGACCCTGTCTCCACGTTCAGCGAGGAGAACCTGATCCAGGTGGTGATCGACCTGTTTCTGGGAGGCACTGACACCACGGCCACCACCCTGCGCTGGGCGCTCATCTACATGGTCCAGCATGAAGCCGTCCAGGGTGAGAGGCCCACAGCCAGTAGTCCCTGCGCACGGCTCTGGGCTGCAGGCACTGCCTCTGCCGCTCAGTTCTGTGGCCAGTTCCAGCCCTGCCCACAGTGGGACAGGAAGTACTCACGGTGTTGAGTCAGAGAGATGGGACTTCATTACCACCTGTTACTCACTCTGCGACCTCAGACAAGTCCCCCCACCTCTCAGAACCAGTGTGAAATGGGGCAACGTTTTGGTGCTCATTGTGCAATCATTTGGCACCTACTAGGTGTCCTACTCAAGATCACGATCGAAGAGGACAATAGGTGGCTGGGGTTCTCTCAGGGATTAAACTGGCCATGACCTAAGTTCAAGTCCTGGCTCCACTACCTGGGCCCAAGTACCTGCCCTGTAAGTGCCTCCGTTGCCCCATCTGGGAGACAACAGTTTGCGTTTTTTTTTTTGTTTTTGTTTTGTTTTTTTTTTTTTTTTTTTTTTTTTTTGGACAGGCAGAGTGAACAGTGAGAGAGAGAGAGAGACAGAGAGAAAGGTCTTCCTTTGCCGTTGGTTCACCCTCCAATGGCTGCCACGGCTGGCACGCTGCGGCCGGTGCACTGCGCTGATCTGAAGGCAGGAGCCAGGTGCTTCTCCTGGTCTCCCATGGGGTGCAGGGCCCAAGCACTTGGGCCATCCTCCACTGCCTTCCAGGCCACAGCAGAGAGCTGGCTTGGAAGAGGGGCAACCGGGAAAGAATCCGGTGCCCCGACCGGGACTAGAACCCGGTGTGCCGGTGCCGCAAGGCGGAGGATTAGCCTATTGAGCCGCGGCGCCGGCCAGTTTGCGTATTTTTAAAAGATTTACTTAATTATTTGAAAGGCAGTTGAGAGAGAGAGAGAGAGAGAGAGAGAGAGATCTTCCATCTGTTGGTTTACTCCCCAGATGGCCACAACAGCCAGGGCTAAGCCAGGCTGAAGCCAGGAGCCAGGAGCTTCTTCCCTGTCTCCCATGTGGGTGCAGGGGCCCAAGCACTTTGGCCATCTTCTGCTGCTTTCCCAGGTGCATTAGCAGGGAGCTGGATCAGAAGTGGAGCCTCAAACCGGAGCCTATATGGGATGCTTGCATCTCAGGTGGTGGCTTTATTATTTATTTTTTAACCTGGGAGACAGTTTGCATCTCTTTGTAGATACAGCTCCTGGTACATGGTGGGTGCTCAAATCTGGCTCTGTTCCCTTCCCACAGTTGCCCCCTGCAGGAAGAAACTGCAAATTCTTCCTCACAAGAAGCAGGTTCTGCCTCAGAGAGGGCCTGCTTCCACGGGCCCCGGGGCTGCTGGGTGGGGTGACACAGGGGCCTTGGGGAGGTTGAGGGCGGTGGGGGTGGGGCAGGGAGGCTGGGCTGCAGGTGTCCTCCTCTGACCCAGCCTGAGTCTCCTGCAGAGAGGGTGCAGCAGGAGCTGGACATGGTGCTGGGCACTGCCCAGGCCGTCCGCTACGAAGACCGTGAGCGACTGCCCTACACCCGCGCCGTCCTCCATGAGGTGCAGCGCCTCAGCAGCGTGGTGGCCGTGGGCGCCGTGCGCCACTGTGTGACTTCTACGCGAGTGCGCGGCTACCCTGTGCCCAAGGTAGGTGGTCCCACACGGCACCTCCCACCCCATTGCCAGCACAGCCTTGGGCAGCAGCGTCTGCCTACCTGCTGGTCGGTCACCTATCTAGGCTTTTGGGATGTGGGGTTCTGATGATAAAGAATGCACTCACAGTAGGATGGCGTGTTAAGCTCCCTGTTGTCTGGAAATAAACCTGGCGGGCTGTCCAATGCACCTGTTTCCCACCGCTCTTGTTCACAGTGGTTGTGCGTAGTGGTTATCAGCCTGACTATCCCGTATGACTCCTTCCTTCCACTTCACGTGTGACTCAGAGTCCTCTAGCAGTGGTTCTGCAACTTCCAGGAACATCAGAGCTGCCTGGAGGGCTGCTGGCGACACACAGGGCTGGGCTGGGCTCCCCTCTGAGCTTCTGGGCGGGGCCTGGGAATCCACATTTCTAGGCGGTTTTCAAGTGGTATGGATGCTGGATGCAGGGAGCAGCCTGTGAAAACCTCTGCTCCCTGTCACTGTTAAGGGCTGCATAATTTTCCACCAGATCTAGGCCATTTGTGGTTGATGTGCCTTGGACTCCGTCTGCCCTCTGCATTATTTCCTCAGAAGTGATTCCTAGCAGAAAAACTCTCCTTTCTTGGTTCTTTCATCTGATAACAAGGTTAAGAGATTAAGTACCAAATAAAGGGGAAATAGAGAAAAAGCCATATGAAACTAGTTAAGAACAGTGATTGGAAATGCATATAAAACTTGGGTCTGACCTGTCTTGGAGTTACATGACCATACCTGCTCTCTGCCAAGGCTTTCTACCAGCCAAGAACTTTGTGCCCACTGCACCACTCAGTCTTCACAGCATCACCAGGTGCAATAGTGTTTTTGTTTAAACCACACATAGCCGCCGGCGCCGTGGCTCAATAGGCTAACCCGCCGCCTTGCGGCACCGGCACACCAGGTTCTAGTCTCGGTCGGGATGCTGGATTCTGTCCCGGTTGCCCCTCTTCCAGGCCAGCTCTCTGCTGCAGCCAGGGAGTGCAGTGGAGGATGGCCCAAGTGCTTGGGCCCTGCACCCCATGGGAGACCAGGAGAAGCACCTGGCTCCTGCCTTCAGATCAGCACGGTGCGCCGGCCGCAGCACGCCAGCCGTGGCGGCCATTGGAGGGTGAACCAACAGCAAAAAGAAGACCTTTCTCTCTGTCTCTCTCTCACTGTCCACTCTGCCTGTCAAAAATTAAAAAAAAATTAAAAAAAAAAACACATAGCCAAGACAAAATATATCGAAATTTTTTCTATCTTGCTGTGAAAAACATTACTCCAAAATTTAGCAGCTTAAAACAGAAGCGTTTATGATTCCAGAGTTTCTGAGGGTCAGGAAACTGGGTGCCATTTAGCTGGCTGCCTTGAATTGTAGGTCTTTGAGGTGAGGTTACCATCAAGATGTGGGTGGGGCTGCAGCCTCATCCGAAGGCTCCGCTGGGGGTGTGGGGGGAGGTGCGCTCAGCTTCAGGCTCACTTGCGTGACTGTTGTTCTGTGGGCTGTGGGCTGGAGGCCACCGGCAGGTCTTGGATACATGGGCCTCTGCTTAAGGCAGCTTAAAGACACGACAACCGACTTCCACTGAAGACAGTGAGGCAGCACCCAAAACAGAAGCTACCCTCTTTCTGGAACCTAAACTCAGATGTGATAGCCCACCCCTTTTGCCACCTTCTGTTGGTTAGAACTGAGTTTCTGGGTCCAGCCCAGCCTCCGGGGGTGGGCATCACATAAGGGTGTGAATCCCAGGGGTCAAGGGTCCTTGGGGAGCACTGTAACACGCCACAGATGTGTGGCTGGCAAGGTGGCCATTTTAATGAAATCGATGCCCTCTATGCCTGGAGGTGGCAGCTGGAGCCCTGAGCCGTTCCCCAGACAGGGGCTTGGGCTCAGCACTGCTGTTCCAGCCTGTCTCCGACCGAAGACTTAATGGTACAGGGTGGGGAACCAGGAAAGCAGGGCGGAGAGGGAGAGAAGGCAGGTGCGATCTCCCCTCTCACGTTCAGCACCCCTGCTGGATGCCTATTCACTTATTACTAATTTTCTCGGACTTGAGATTCCTGCCTGCGTTCATTTCTTCCCAGCGACCTTATCCTTTTTGTTCCTTTTTTCCCAGACAGGGAAAATTTGGCCAAGCGCTCATGTAACTGCTCAAAACACAGCCAATTGGTGTTTCAAATTCATGTCTGACTTGAGAGTTTCTGCTTTTTCCACCATGTTCCTTGCCTGCTCCAAAAATGCCCCTCTAGGTGAGAAGAGGAACAAACAGGGCAAACGGAGATGGTCTGCGTGGTCCAGTGGGCCGCTGCTCCTGCTGCCAGTGTGGCAGGAGGGCCGAGGCTGGGCTGTCTGAGAGCTATGCCCAGTTAGGTCAAGTTAGCAAGGAAGGGGTCCAGGTTTAACTCTATGCTATGCCTTTTGGATCACAAACTCCTTTATTAGGAGTCCATTTCTGCTAATTTGATTGTAGGAGTTGCTTCATGATAAGAGCTCCAGGGACCCATTCATAACGTACAATCAATATCGAGCTTTGGCAGCCTGGGTGAGAGATGTCTGCTGCACTCTAGCCTGTCTCTCCTCCAACATTGCATTTAGCCATGAACTCCAGGCTGCATTCATGGTGGGGAGATGCTGGCTTGCAGTCCCCAGAGGGTAGCAGCAGGCAGATGGTCGGTGGCCTGGGAGGAGGGAGGTTGTCCTTTTGGTGTATTGTGAGGGCTGTGCGCTGCACCTGGCCCGTGCAACAAGGTCAGGGAGCCACTTTGCAAGGAGGCCAGAACAGGACAGGAATCACTGGGGAGGGAAAAGAGCATTTTGCCCGGAGCCTCTTCCTCTGGCGGTGATTACTAAGAACTGATGCAATGCAGGGGATTACTTAACCTTGGAGAGAGAAAGGTGAAATTCCCAGGACGGTAACTGGGAACTGCTGGTGCTCTCAGGCAGCAGCGAGCACTTGGCCTCCCCATGCCTCCGCATAAAGCCACAGAGTGACCTGTGGGTGCAGAAGAGCGGGGCCAGGCCTGCAGGCCTGCAGTAGCAATGCAGATAAGATCCTGCTGAGGTACGAACAGCAGCTCAATTTCTGCATTCTTTTTTTTTTTTTTTTTTTTTTGGCTTCTAACTGGGATGTAGGCTTCTACCTCTGCTGAGTTCGATTTTTGTTTTTGAATTTTTGGAAAAAAAAAAAAAGTCAAGCTACTTTTGTTAAAGTCAAGACTTCTGTGGTCCTTCCAAAGGTGGCTAGTTTGGCCTTATGATCTTTAATCATTGAGCCCCTGGGCGGGAGGCCTTCCCCAGAGTGCTAGAGCTGAGTGCCCCTGGTCCCAGGGCCATTACTAACCCTGTTCTTTTTTCCATTTTGGCTCCTTGTGCCGTTTCTAGTCAGAGCAGGGGCCGGGGCAGGAGGTGCCCTGACAGGAGCCTCTGGCTGCTTGCCTGGTCTGACTCTTTCACAGTCGTTCACTTCTGCTAGGATAAGGGTTAGGACTAGGGGTAAGTTGGGGCAGTGTTCATGTTCTCGCTGTAGCCCTACAGAGTGAGGCGTTTGGTGTGCTTCTCTCCATTTATTTCTCTTTGTCCGTCTGCCTTCCCCCCCCACCGCGTGCGCACACACACACACACACACACACACCCTGTCCCCACGTCTGTTTCCTGCTGCAGATCTTGGTCCCTCGTAGTCATGCTCACCAGTCGCGAGCCTTCCCCATGGGTGTCAGTTGCTCTGTATTCTAGACCCGGGTCTACGGTGTTCAGGACAGAGGCAGGAGGCCTGGGGCCAGAGTCCCTGGGGCCGCCCGCTGCACACAGGTCTTCTCCCGGTTCACTTCAGCTGTGGGTCAGGGCTGGGTGCAGGGCCTCTGGAGGCCCCTGAGCCACAGGAGCTCCTCTCTGCAGGGCACCATCGTTTTGCCCAACCTGGCCTCTGTGCTCTATGACCCTGAGTGCTGGGAGACCCCCCGAGAGTTCAATCCCAGCCATTTCCTGGACAAAGATGGAAACTTCGTGGCCAACGAGGCCTTCCTCCCATTCTCTGCAGGTACAGGAACGGTGCTGGGTCCTGGGTGGTGAGCGGGGCTGCGATGGGCCAGCTGCCAGCCTCAGGCTTTTTTCCCTCCACTTCTAGGACATCGGGTGTGCCCGGGGGACCAGCTGGCTTGAATGGAGCTCTTCCTGACGTTTGCCACCCTCCTCAGGACCTTTCAGTTCAAGCTGCCCGAGGGGAGCCCGGGGCTCCGGCTGGAGTATGTCTTTGGGGGCACGCTGCAGCCCCAGCCCCAGGAGATCTGTGCAGTGCCCCGCCTGAGCAGCCCCAGCTCAGGGCCCAGGGAGAAGAGCCTGTAGCCAGCGGCGGGGTCCAGAGGCCTGTTCCCCACCAGCTTCTTCCCCTGTCTCTCTCTGCTCCTGAAAAGTTAGAGAGGAAAAACAGGGCTCACCCAGCCCATCTCCTGCTTCTCTCATCCACGCTCCATGGACATCAGGCTTGTCAAGCTCTACAAGGTAGCTCGGTTCTTAGGGTAGCTGTGGTCTGGCAGAAAGGGATCTTACAAAGTCATTCAGATGACGTTTAATTTTGGAAATCAAACCTCACAAAATGGAAGCTAGGTAGGTGCAGAGGGAAAGGATTCCAAACAGAACTGTGGATGTATTAATGCATGTAAATACTACAAATGCTGGGGACTGATATGCAATAAATAACTATAAATAAATAAATAAATTTAGAAGACTGCTTATTTTCTGCCCTCTCCTGCCCTCTCCTGGCCAGAAGGAAGAAGTGCAGGTCCCTGCCTGTTCCCTGCAGCCTTTTGACAGAAATAGTCTATGCGGCAAAGTCAGCAGATAGCCTAACTGGTCCAGTAAATTCTACACAAGGACCCCGTCTACCTTCCTGACTAGAGTCCTCAAGTTTTAAACATTGCGCCCTCAGATATGCTTTGCTTATCAAAAAAGAATGCTTTGCATTAAAAGACTGCACGTTAAAATCAAAATGAGACACCTCTGCGTATCTATTAGACTCACTCACAGCAAAGTCCTGGGACAAGCACTGTGGCCCAGCAGGCTAAGCTGCTGCTGCCTGAAATGCCCACATACCAACTAGGTACTGGTTCGAGTCCCAGCTGCTCCACTTCTGACCCAACTCCCTGCTAATGCGCCTGGGAAAGCTGCAGCCTGCACCCACGTGGGAGACCCAGATGGAGTTCCAGGCTCCTGGCTTCCACCTGGCTTAGCCCTGGCCATTGCAGCCACTTGGGGAGTGAACCAGCAGATGGAATACAGATTTCTGTCTATCTGTAATTAATTTAAGTAGAAATAAATGAATTTTTTTTAAAAAAAGTAAAAACCTGATGATCTAGCTGCGGAGCAACTGGAATTCTCACACACCTGATATCAATGTAGCAGCCACTGTGGGAAACAATAAACAGATTAAACACTACATCATCCAGTGAAGCTGCCCAGAACTAGGTGTTTTTACCCAAAATACATGAAAATACATGTTCACACACATGTATACGGTAGTGATTCCATTTTTGTGATATTCTTGAAAAAGCAAAACCAGGAGCTGGCACTGTGGCATAGCCAGTTAAGCCACCATCTGCAGCACCGGCATCACATATGGGTGCCGGTTCCTGTCCCAGCTGCACCACTTCCAATCCAGCTCCCTGCTAATGTGCCTGGGAAAGCATCAGAGGATGGCCCCAGTGCTTGGGGCCCTGCACCCACATGGGAGACCTGGAAGAAGCTCCTGGCTTCTGGCTTCGGCCTGGCCCAGCCCTAGCCATTGTAGCTATTTGGGGAGTGAACCAGAAGATGGAAGATCTCTCTCTCTCTCTCTCTCTCTCTCTCTGTCATTCAAATAAATAAATCTTGAGAGAGAGAGAGAGAGAGAGAGAGAGAGAGATAATTCTCAATAAAAAAAAAGCAAAGCAAAGCAAAGCCAAATAGAGGAACAGAAAACATTTAAGTGGTATCCAGAGCCTGGGAGTAGTTATGGGTTGATCAAAAAGGGATAGAGGTTGACACTGTGGCACAGCAGGTTAAAGCCCTGGCCTGAAGCACTGGCATCCCATATGGGTGCCGGTTCTAGTCCTGGCTGCTCCTCTTTTATCCAGCTCTCTGCTATGGTCTGGGAAAGCAGTAAAAGATGGCCCAAGTCCTTGGGCCCCTGCACCCATGTGGGAGACCTGGAAGAAGCCCCTGGCTCCTGGCTTCGGATCAGCGCAGCTCGGGCCATTGCAGTCAATTGGGAAATGAACCATCGGATGGAAGTCCTCTCTCTCTCTCTCTCTCTGTACTTTTCTTTGTAACTCTGTCTTTCAAATAAATAAAATAAATCTTTTTAAAAAAAAGGGATATAAAGGGGACTTTCTGGGGTAATGGAAAGAAGTGTTCTGTTTCTTGACTGTGGTGATGGTTACATGACTCTGTGTGCTTGTCAAAACTCATACAGCTATGCCCTAGAAAGAGTGAGAGTTGGGGCTGGCATTGTCACTCAGTGGGTTCAGTTGCCCCTTGTAAGACCACCATCCTATATCAGAGTGCTGGTTGGAGTCCCAGACACCCTGCATCCAATACAGCTCCCTGCTAATGTGCTTTGGAAGGCAGCAGTAGGTGGGCCAAGTATTTGGGTCTCTGCCACCCATGTGAGATACCTGGATGTAATATTGGGCTCCTGGTTTTGGCCTGAGCAAGAGCAGAGGACGGAAGATCTTTCTCTCTCTGACTCTCTCTCTCTCTCTCTCTCTCTCTCTGTTACTCTGCCTTCCAAATAAATTTTTTAAAAAGTCTTAAAAATGATGAAGTACTGTATATAAGTCATACTTCAATAAACCTGCCTTTTAAAAAAGGAATGCCTTACCTTTCTTTTTAGTGTCACTAAAAGACGCACATAAGAATGAACCCGTGTTTCTAATTGGTAGGCTGTCAATCATTGCTGCTGGCATGGGCTGGGAGGACTCCAGAAATAAGAAAAAGTGATATATTAATTAGCCGCTGACCATTTTGCCCATTTTGCAGGCAAATGTACAAATTTCTCTAAGCTTTTGAAAAAATTTTTAGGCCGGCGCGGCGGCTCACTAGGCTAATCCTCCGCCGGGTTCTAGTCCCGGTTGGGGCGCCGGATTCTGTCCCGGTTGCCCCTCTTCCAGGCCAGCTCTCTGCTGTGGCCAGGGAGTGCAGTGGAGGATGGCCCAGGTGCTTGGGCCCTGCACCCCATGGGAGACCAGGAAAAGCACCTGGCTCCTGGCTCCTGCCATCGGATCAGCGCGGTGCGCAGGCCGCAGCGCGCTGGCCGCAGCGGCCATTGGAGGGTGAACCAACGGCAAAGGAAGACCTTTCTCTCTGTCTCTCTCTCTCACTGTCCACTCTGCCTGTCAAAAAAAAAATTTTTTTTTTAAGATTTATTTATTTATTTATTTGTTCTAAAGGCAGAGTTACACTGGGGGAAGATATCAGTCTTCTATCCACTGGTTCTCTTCTCAACCACAATGGGCTGGGTTAGACCAGGCAGAAGCTGAGAGCCCGGGACTTTATCTGGGTCCCCTACATGGGTGCAGGGCCCAAGCACTTGGGCCATCTTCCACTGTCTTTCCAGGCGCATTAGCAGGGAGCTGGATTGAAAGCAGAGCAGCTGGCACTCGTTTGGGATGCTGGTGTTGCAGGCAGCGGCTTCATCCACTGCACCACAACACTGGCCCCGCTTTTGAAAACATTGGTATTTTCTCACAGATAGTCTTTTTTTTTTTTTTTTTTTTTACAGGCAGAGTGGACAGTGAGAGAGAGAGAGAGACAGAGAGAGACAGAGAGAGAAAGGTCTTCCTTTGCCGTTGGTTCACCCTCCAATGGCTGCCGCTGGCACACCGCGCTGATCCGAAGCCAGGAGCCAGGTGCTTTTCCTGGTCTCCCATGGGGTGCAGGGCCCAAGCACTTGGGCCATCCTCCACTGCACTCTCTGGGCACAGCAGAGAGCTGGACTGGAAGAGGAGCAACCGGGACAGAATCAGGCACCCCGACTGGGACTAGAACCCAGAGTGCCGGCGCTGCAGGTGGAGGATTAGCTTATTGAGCCGCAGCACCGGCCACAGATAGTCTATTTTTTGTGTGGAAAAACACTCAGGACCTGAGGTTGACAGACTGGGAACCATGGGGTGAGGGGGCTCCCAGAAAGCAGTAGAAAGCCTCGGGTCCCTGTGCCATAGAGAGCCTCCCCCTGGTCTGGCGGCTGTGTGCAACCCAGGAGAAATAAAGACTGGGCCCTGACTTAACTGCTTCTTGCCTGGTTTTCCTAATCCTCCATCACTTGTCTCCCCATTAGAGCCCCTGACTGGAGCTGGCAGCACCCTCTCATAACCCGCTACCAACATCCAGCCTCCTGTCGTTGGTCCTGCAGTTTCTTGACATGGCAAATGGAACTCTCCCTTAGGATTATCACACACGACAAAGTTCAGCAGGAGCCTGGCATGTGATAACTGCTTTGATATGTTGATATGTTGGTGGGGACCCCTTTCTCCCATACAACATCCGTAAGCCCTTTTTTTTTTTTTTTTTTTTTTTTTTTTTTGACAGGCAGAGTGGACAGAGAGAGAGACAGAAAAGCAAGAAAGGTCTTCCTTTGCCATTGGTTCACCCTCCAATGGCTGCCGCGGCCAGCGCGCTGCGGCCAACGCACCGCGCTGATCCGATGGCAGGAGCCAGATACTTATCCTGGTCTCCCATGGGGTGCAGGGCCCAAGCACTTGGGCCATCCTCCACTGCATTCCCTGGCCACAGCAGAGAGCTGGCCTGGAAGAGGGGCAACCGGGACAGAATCCGGCGCCCCGACTGGGACTAGAACCCGGTGTGCCGGCGCCGCAAGGTGGAGGATTAGCCTAGTGAGCCGCGGCGCCGGCCAGTAAGCCCTTTGTTTATGACCTTAAGATAAAATGCTGCTGGGAATAGCCCTTCTTCCCCTTAGATGGGCTTCTCTGTCACTTCCCAATCATTACTGCATATAATGGTGTGATGACTGCTGCCATGCGTGGAGTGCCAACCATGTGCTAATGAGTGAACTGGGTTCCTCATATATGAACACACATGTAGTCATTTAATCATCAAAGTGACAAGGCACGAATCAGAGTCAGGAGGTGGCCCATGAATGTTTAGAAAGTATCAGAATATCAGTAAGCCTCAGTTTCCCCTTTGCAAAGTGGGGACAATAATGCTAGGTTGTGGGGTGGATGTTACGGGCATCCCATATCGCAGTGCCTGGTTCGAGTCTCACATCCTCCACTTCCAATCCAACTTCCTGCTAATGCACACCCTGGGAGGTGGTAAGTAATGGATCAAGTATTTTGTACCTGCCACCCGTGTAAAGACCCGGATGGGTTCCAGGCTCCTGGCTTCCACCTGGCCCTGGCTGTTCCAGGCATTTGGAGTGAAAGAGTGAATGGAAGAGATGTCTATCTCTTCCTGGCTGACTCTCTAATTCCCTGCCTTTTAAACAAAAAATGAAGGCCGGCGCCACGGCTTACTAGGCTAATCCTCCGCCTTGCGGCGCCGACACACCGGGTTCTAGTCCCGCTCGGGGCACCGGATTCTGTCCCGGTTGCCCCTCTTCCAGGCCAG